AATCTGATCGTAGGGACGGGTGCGCTGACAATGCCGGCCGCCTTTGCCAACGCCGGTTGGGCCGGCTCTACGGTTGTGGTGGTCGTACTTTGTCTCGTCTCATACATTACCACCACATTTGTCATCGAAACCATGTCTTTGGCCAACGCTCTCATTAAATACAATCAACAAAAAGGTTTTTAATTGTTGTTAGTCTAGTATTAACTGTGGCTATGGCTTAATTAGTTGGCTTGTAATTGGTTTGTGAATAGTTTCCTGTAGTTAATTTTAGTTATTACCCCCAACTAACACACCCGCCTCCTGACCCCCACCTTCCACTCGCACTTGATTTGGTGATGGGGTTTCGCACTCGTAATAAACGCATGCAATGATTGATTTAATGATTAATTAATTTTTAATTCATTAATTTGCGTGAATTTTTGTCCGAAACTCTCAATAAAAAAAACAAAACCAAAAAACGATTTCCCGATTATATATATAATTAGCGGTCAAACGGCGAGCGCCTACTGATCGTCACTGTGAAGGCCAGTCGTCCAGTCATTACGAGGCGTCGGCAGCCCTACCGCCTGACAAATCCTACTCACACTTCGCCAGTAGTTACGAAACGCTTCCACTTTTAGACAGCGAAGACACCGGCGATGACCAGCGCTTTAACCGGTCCTCCATTGGCAGCGGCGCCGATGATATGGTTGTCGCCTATAAGCCGACGAAGGAACAGGAGCTGAGGGAACGTGTGGTGAACGGCGACCCCAGCGATGAGGACATGGATGAAGAGGACAACTACTTCGCTATCACACAAAAGGTAGAGTTGGGTGCGATGGCCGACATGTTCTTCGGCGCCATTGGTGTCAAACTGTTTTACGTGACGATTGCTATCTATTTGTACGGAGATTTGGCCATATATGCGGCCGCCATTAGTAAATCGCTCCGGGATGTTACCTGGTACGTGTGCCCGCATACCATACCCTTAACCATAAAGGTTTAATTATTACATCTCCTGCTCTATGCCTTTAGTTCATATGAACCGAAGAATTGTACGGCCAGTCTATCGCTGTCCGACCAGTGCTGGACAGGCATGGAGTCCATAAGCCGTCAAAACGCGTACCGCATATATCTGGCCGTAACGCTGCTATGTATCGGTCCCTTCGCCTTCTTCAACGTTCAGAAAACAAAGTATTTACAAATGTTGACAACACTTCTCCGATGGATAGGTATATAATTTGTCACTAATCTAAATGTTAACAATATTTATAATTTTACTATTAATTGCAATCATTATATGAAATGACTGATAAATATTCTCTATGTTTAATAATAGCCTTCATTTCGATGACAATCATTGCAATCATAGCCCTGTCGTCGGGCAAAGCCCGGGGCCGGCCCTCGTCATTGTCCATATCGGGCGTCCCGAACCTCTTCGGGGTCTGTGTCTACTCATTCATGTGTCACCACTCGTTACCATCGCTGGTCACTCCCATTAACGACAAGCGCCGCATATTTTCATTAATACTCACCGATTATCTATTGATTCTCGGTTTTTATTGTCTCCT